TATAACCCACATTAACAAAAGTTCTTTGGAGTCATTGATAAATTAAGATTATAACAGGACATTAAGACCACAAACTTTGAGAGTCGCAAGAATAAAAAGTGACTCCTTGAGTCGGAGATTTAGATCAGTAGTGCCTGCCTCAAAAGCGCAAGATCCTGAGTTCGATCCCCAGTACCAAAAAAAAAGTGACTCCTTGGCAACATTGGTGATCATCTTTTTGTCAAAGTTAGTTTTTTGGTGGAAAGGCTCATCAGATCATAGTATTACTCAGATTTTAACATAACCCAAATCTTTAGTTTTTCATGCTAGCATGAATATACGTTAGGTATCCAATAAATTTATACTTACTAAACAAAGCAGGTATTAGGAAAGAAAACATAAACATCAGCATATCAAAGTTCTAGTTTTGTTTTAAAAATATGGTATCAATTTACTGAATCACATCAGAAGATTGAAAATTATAAATTTTCTTAGACTACCACCTCTGTACATGGAATTCTTTCCATTGAGTCAAGGATTTTCCTAAACTTAGTTTTTTTAAATATTCCATTTAGTTAGTATGTTACAGAGTTCTGTATTATACGCCTTCCACTGCTCTAGACCTTTAATACTGGAACAATACATACACCTACAAACAACAGAATGACACTGTGAAGAGCAGTCTTCATAGACATATTCTGGACTGTACTACAAGCACTACTGTAACAAGCCAAGGAAAAGGTTCACTGCTGTGTTAAGGAAGTAGGGCCTCCACAACACACTACTCTGTTCTGGGGTGGGATCTACATAATCTTGCATAGGTTTTCTGCCCAGGCTTACTATTTAGGCTATTAATAAGTTTTCCAAGGGCTTAAATTTCTTTCTCAGTAACTGAAACTTCTTGAAGCTGACATCTTGCCTGTCTGTATCCTTTATTTCCCAAAGAGATCATATTCAAGACTACAAGAATCTACAGCCTTCTTTACCCCTTGTATGGCCATAAAGAATGCAGGCCTTTAGCACTAGAGAATTAATTTATCACAATAATCTATTAGTTACATGAGAAATAAAGGGAAGGTGCTGAGTAACACAAAATTCTTCATATCAGATTTCTAGGTTATATCTGGTACAACAGCCATAACTTCCTGTGTACCCTGAAGAAAAAGAACAGCAAAAGTGTAGTGTAGCGAAATCTAGGAATGTAGAGGGATATATGTTTCATAATGGTAAAAAGAGTATACTTGCACACAGACACTGCTCATCTTGCACACATCACTAATTGTTACAGATATGTTAGAAGGTATCCAAATATAAGGTAACAGGGCTTTCCTTTTTGCCCCCCCGCAAATCCTTGCATGTAAGCTATTATTGCGCTCTTGCCATTTGGGAAGCCTAAGCCCTAGCAAAACTGTGAGTAAACATAACTCTTCCTATAACTTCTCAACTCTTTTCTTAGGGTAGTATACCTAACAACTAGCCCAATATTTAGCCCCCTTCTACTAATGAAATTGTCTCATTTGACAACTTCTTCCTCCCTACCTTCTCCTGAACCCCAATTGAGCCCCATCCAACTCAAAAACAGTAACTGAATCACTGCCCTCTTCAAGCAGTGCTAGAGTTCAGGTTTTATACATCTTCTGCCATCTCCCTCAAGAAATACACTTCCTTAAAGTCGGGTAGATGACAAATTTGACAACCTGATACAACAACAATAGCTTAATGTTCTGCTTTCCAAGGAACAAACATTTATTACAACAAAGACATAAATACATTTCCTTAGCTCAATGTTTCTCAAGCTCAAATAATGGTATCTTTTAAAAGAAACTCATGTAGTCCCAAGAGTTGACATACTTTATCAAAATTTATTGTGAAGATAAAACTAGACATAAGTAATAGTACCTAAACTATGACAAAATACAAATAAGATTATATATCAATATTAAGGTTTTAAATTTTTGTCAATTACAAAATTAAAAAGAAATCGTGGTACTGTTACAGTGATCACCCACATGATCCAAAATGCACTACTTCTACATATCATTTATTTTTATACTACCATTTGCCCCCCCACCAAAATACCCCAAAATTTAGCAATTCTCATGGAGAAAATGCTAATCCAAAATACATCTATAGTTAATGAGTGTCACTCACTATGTGACCTAACTATGGGGGAAAGTAAAATGAGCAGGAAACCTGAAAACCAAAACAATGTTTGAGAAAGTAAGCATTTTTATATTTTTCAGTTTATCATTCCTAATCCAATCTTGCAAGAGAATTAGTGACTTCCATGATTATTCTATAGTATGCTTGACGAAATAAGTGTATTTTAATGACAATGTATATTACAGTTTCATTCACTTACAACATATATAACTCCAGCAATTCACTCTTCAAAAATGTGACTTAAAAATGTCAATAATGCTTGGTGTAATTTCACTTTATAAATTCATTACATATGAAAATTAATACAGTCATACATCTAGGCAGGTTGGTCAAGAACAGAAAATAATAAAATATGACCACAAAAAAAAAGTCAAAGCACAAATGAATTGAGGTGGGGAAGAGGCTAAAAGTCTAATGAACAAAAAATTTTGTGTGTGCAGGTGAAGTGGGAAATTACTGGACTAAGTCAAAAGATTTAACCTGGAGGCGTCTCAAAAATTGCTATGCATTAGAATCTCCATGGAAGCTTTTAAAAATCCTAATATCCACTTCACATTCCCACAGTGAGTAAACCAGTCTGTGGATATGGAAGCCAGATACTATTTTTTAAATGAAGATTTAAAAGTAAATACAGTGCACAACAGAATTTTGGGGAACTAAACTACCCAACTAAAACCATTCTAATAATCTGCAAAATGTGATGATTTAAGAGAAATAGCTCCTGAAACCACAAAGAACTTCCCAAATCTGTTTCCTGCTTTATCAGCTTCCTAGGTTGGCTGTAAGAAAGTATCGTATTGGAATTTATTGTCTCACAATTCCAGTGGCTGGAAGTCCAAAATCAACTGTGTTGGCAGAACAGTGCTCCTTCCCATTCCTCTGAAAGAGAATTATTTACCTTCCGGCTTCTGTACCCTTAGGCATTCCATGGCTATAGCAACAAAGTTGCTTTTTCTGCTTCAATATGCACTTAGCCAATCTCTCTAGTCCCAGTATGCATGTGGCATTCTCTTCTGTGTGCCTGTGTCACAAAGACACTGGTCACAATGGATAGTGCCACACTAATGACTCCACTTTATCTTTTTTTTAATGATGTAAACATGTTTGTCATTTTTTGCACAGTCATATACAGTGTGTGTGTGTGTATATATATATATATATATATATATGTATGTATGTATATACACACACATATATTTTATTAGTCTGTGTTTGTGATATATAACTAATCCTTTTATTGTGGAAGTTTGGAACATATACATAATGCACCACAGTCCTTTTTATCCATTCCCCTAGCCCTGTCCCATCTGCAAAAGTTCTACAATGTGAAGATCCTTTTTGCAAATGAGGTCACATTCATAGATATTGACACAATTCAAACTATAACACCTTTTAACTTTCAAATATTTCCTACTAATCAACTATAAAACATAATGTCATGTGGATTACAGCAGATTTCCATCTTAAAATTCACTCCAAAATGCACTTTTGCAAAAGTGGAAAGGACAACAGATTTGAAGCAGAGAGGATATATCCTGTGGCACATCCTCAGAAACTAGATGGCTCCACTCTTACACACTAAAGATTTTTAAAATAATCTACCCTTTAAACTAGTTTCATACTGCACTGGCTATTACATTTCTATTACAAGACACTCCTGTAGCAAGCGAATTCCCAAACTTCTTAGCTGGGCAATAAAGTCACTCAATGTAACAAACTATAGTTACAGCTCACAATCCTTCCCACAGCCTTACAATCAGGCTAACAAGACTAAACGATCAAACATGTATGTCCAAAACAAGTATCCTAGAACATGAGAAATTTAATAGCTTACAGTGCTGGAAGTCACAATGTCCCCTAAAATTCACATGTTGAAGTCCTCACTTTTAGTACAGTGGTGGCAAACCTTTGGCATGTCTGCTATAGCAGGCTACTTGTATTATTGAAAGCTCTAAAAGGTTCATCACCAGGGCTCTAGTATCTCAGAATGTAATCTTATTTGGGAATTGGGTCACTACACACATTGGTAATATACTCACATTCTCACAGCTCGGGAAGTCAAGAAATCAAGGTGTTGGCAGGGACATGCTCCTTCTAAAGCTGCTAAGGAGCCCATCCATTGCAGGGCCCTCTCTTAGCTTCCTCAGAGTCTCGATCCATTAGGACTGGGAAGGCGGGGGGACACAACCTTCAACTAAACAATTTATAAAAAACAGAAATATATTTCTCACAGTTCTATAAGCTGGAAAGATCAAGACACAGGTGCTAGCACATCAAGTATCTGGAGAGGGATTACAGCTTCACAGATGCCTTCATATGGTACAAGGGGCTAGGGAGCTCCTTTCCATCATTTATATAAGGGCACTAATTTCATTCATAAGGGAAAAGTCCTCAGGAATTAATCACATCCCAAAAGGACCCACCTCTTAATACCAGCACAATGGGAATTCTTCTATTTCAACTTGAATTTTGGAGGGCACATTCCCTCTACACAGCACTTGGTTTATAGAGGCATTTGTCCAGCCAGAGTGTCATGTTCTCCCTGTCTCTTCACATTCTTCTCCCTCTATCTTGTCCAAGTATCTTTTTAAACAGGGACACCAGTCATACCATATTAAGGCCTCCCCTGATGACCTTATTTTAACATTAAGTACCTATGATAACTGTTCTTCCAAAAGTAGTAGAGATGATGACTCCATTCTACGAATTAGAGGGAGGGACACAAGACACAATTCAACCCAGAACAGCTACCAAGCTGAGAAAGCCCAAGATTGCAAACTACAGGTGCCACCATTTGCTCCTCCCATAATGCAGACGAAAGTTTGAGACAAGGGCTAACAAAAGCTTTTTTCCCTTACCTTCAGTTATCTGTCAATCTTGTCTTTCAAATAATCCCTTTAAAACAAAACCAAAAGTAACACTAATTATGGTAATCACAATGATATCAACATATGGGAACAATCACTTTAAGTAACTTTATGTGGTGGAGTATACAGCAGTGCCCCCTTACCCATGACACATCCCAAGATCCCCACTAAAACAGTATCTAGGACCAAACCCTGTACTATGTGCTCCCCTATACACATATACCTATGATAAAGCTTGATTTATAAATTACACACAGTGGGAAGTCAAGAATAACAAGCCTAAAGAGATCAATTCTAACAATATACCAGAATAAAATTACCAGCTTTACTACGCTTGAAATCTCAATTCATTTTTAAGTAAAATAATGGTTAGCTGACTACAAGCCTTGAGATGCTCTTAGAGCCGATAAGAAAACCCAGACTTGTTACTACGAAGTGACTACTGGACAGGCAGCATATTCGTGGTAGTGGCTACACTAGACAAAAAAGATGATGCACACCTGAAAAGAATGGAGCTCAAGATTTCAAAAACGCACAATTTAACATTTATATTATATCTGGAATTTTCCATCTGCTATTTTTTTAGACTGACTAACTCTGGGTAACTAAAAACACAGAAAGCAAAACTGCAAGAAAGGGGGTACTACCTGTACTACTGTTCAAATTTCAAACATTCTTTTCCTTTTCTGCAGCAGAATTACTTGTTCCTGCCCTCAATAACCTGGGACATATAACTGACATGTTTTGGTGAATGGAATCTATATAAAAGTGATAAGATACTATATCCAACCAACATATTAGATTACAGTGTATATACTATGTCCTACATAGCACATATTCCAATATCATATAATACAAATAAAGCTACTGACTTGTGTTTGAACTAAAATGTACATAAAAACTAAGTGATTTGGGCTGAGGATTTTAGCTCAGTGGTTCTGCTGCCTGCCTCTCAAGTGCCAGGCCCTGAGTTCAATCCCTGGTACCAAAGAAAAAACTAGTGATTTATGTTTTTTTTAATTAAAGTATGCCTAGTTCAAAGAAGCCTAGAAACAACTAATAACAATTAAATAACAATGAGCACTCCATGGTTAGCTATGTAGCTAATAATAATATCCAAAATAAACATTTTCACTAAGAGAAACCAGAGCTCCTTAAAGAAGTGGCCAATTTCAGGCCTGAAGCAGGAAACCTGAAACATCTTGTCACCTAAGAAAAGGGGGTGGGGGAGAAAGACCATTGTCATATCAGAAGGTGAAGAGCCAATGTGAAGACTCTCATCTGTCTAAGATGGGCCAATTTGAGTAAAATGATAAAAAAAATAGCACACTGGATTAGAACACATTAAACATAGTTCTTTATTAAACATTATAAAAATTAAAAATCACATTTTTTGTCCCTAAAGAGGTAATTAAATACTAGCAATTCATTTTTCTAAAAAGTCGGTGGCTAATAAGTCAGGCAATATGGTCTTTCCCTAACCAGTTCTGTTTTAGGATATCGCAATACTCATTAGGGAAGAGTCCTTTATAGAATTCCAGCTAAGCAAAGCAGAAGCAATAATATAAGCAGAAAAACCATTCTGCTATATCTGAAAAAAAACAATAAACCTAGGGAAAATCATGAATGGTGCTAAATCCACTAGGGGAAAATGGGATATAGAACTTTATAATGGGTGTATCTTATCCTTTTGAGCTGCTATAACAAAAAATGCCTTAGAATTGAAAACTGATAAACTACAGAAGTTAACAGTTCACAGTTCTGGAGACTGAAGTCCAAGATCAAGGTGTCAACTGGTGCCTGTTAGAGCTCACTACTTAATAAATGACACCTTGTCACTGCATCTTCATGTGACAATAGTGCAAAACAGCAGTAAACGAGCTTCCTTAGACCTCTAATCCCATTCATGAGGGCTCCACCTTCAAGACTCAGTCACTTCCCAAAGGTTCACCTCTTAATACCAACACGTGTGGGATTAAATTTCGGTGTGAATTTTGGGGATGCAAACATTCAGACCACAGCAAAGAGTTTACACTAATACCACTTGAACCCACAAATCAATACCAGCATAATTTAATTCCTTCACCTCTTCTAATTTCTCACAGGCCTTGTTTATTTTCTGGGCCACTGGAGCACACAAAATCTCATCCTTTTCTCTATGTTAATGGGAAGGGTAGCGAAAAGCATGAACATACGGACAGTGAACCTAGAGAAAATATAATGATTACAATTTCATAGTCAACACGTATGCCAGTCTTCTAACCCTTACTCCGCCCAAATAGTAAATTCTGATTTGAATGAAAAATCCTAGCTATTATTTGTTTTCTCTTGAAACTAACAACTCTGGAGAAGATGATTAGCTATGAAATAATCTACACATATTCAAAGGTATCCACCAGAAACATATCCTTTAATATCAAATTACAGATTAGCTTACTGTTAAGTACAGGTCAGTACTGTATTCCTCTCCTCTCAACATAAAAAGTGTTCAGACCACAGCAGAGGCATCAGGCTAACCCTAAGGCAGAAGAGACTGCTTTTCTTCTCACTACTCTCACAACATCATGTCTACCCATGGACAACAACTTCAGAATTAATTTAATTCACTTCAAGAATATTAAAGAATGAATAAATAAATAAAGCTTTCTCCTGTCCTAGGTGGCTCAGATTAAGTAAACTTTCAAAGCATTTACATGTAAATATGCAGTCACTCTTTTTACAGGGAAAGGAACACCAGACCAAAAGGGGTAACTACAATGCTAAGTATGAAGATTATGAAAAATGATTCATGGTGATAGTGACCATGCAAAACACTGTCGGATACAAAGCATCTATGATAGTTTCAAAACTTACCAAAAATATTGAAGTTGGAAGAGGAAAAACAAGAATATAAAACAAAGAAGGACTTCCATCCTCTCCTGTTTCTAACTGGTTACCTATCAGAACCCTAGGATTATCTAATACGTGAAGGATATGAAGGAGTCTATAATGATTTCTCTTTCAATGGTCTGTACTTCAAGAATCTTACTGTGCAAAACTCAAGATCATGGAACTAAAAGAACGTTCTTCCTTTACCATCACATAATGGAAATAGGCTCACCTCTATTTATGTCTCTTCCCATTAGAGGAAAAGGAAGCTTTAAAGGACATACTTAACAACAAGTGACATTTAAGTACAATAAATAAAAACATTCATTTCAAAATAAAAATTTTAGCTATATATTCTACATCTTCAAAGACAATACCAGATCATTCAATACAGGAGGTACAAGAGTTTTTCAAACATTGTGTTGACTCATCAGCAAAACTCTGTGAATGCCAACATACTCTCATTTACTAAAAAAAAAAAAAATGAAAGTAACATGAGACCAAACACTTACTCCTTTTTACTGCATTCCAGTTTCTATCCCACTAGTGGTTCTTCTGTATAGTGGTGTTATCAGAGTTACCTGGGACAATTTTCTCAAAGTAATTCCATGAGCCTTGTGACCATCCAAAAATTCTTCACTAAACTTAGCAAGACACTAGTATAACCCAGGCTTGTGTTAAGTTCCTCAAGTCACACAAAACAGGGCTTTCATTATGCCACACTTCAAAACCTGCATCTTTAAATCTTGTGTTTAAAAAGGAAACTCTTTTACTGTACAGTATTTCTTTGATATATAGTAATAATTTTCTAATGACCACCTAAAGTTACATCCTTCTTCTTATCCTCCAATCCAACATTACCCTTCTGGAATTTAACTCTTCCCTCTCTATTTTCACCTGCCAATGAGAATGTTCAGAACCAAATGCTACTCCCTTCTCATACAACTCCCAACAATAACCATTACAGTGTCTAAAATCAGTTGGCCTCTGAACCATTTGGTAATTATTTTATTACAACATTAACTTCTCTATTAAATCTTTCAAAATTTCAAAACTTTGTGTTTCAAAAGTTTTAACTTTCTTCAAGGATCTCATCTCACCAAAATTACCTCCATCTCAGGTGAGATCTTTGGTGAACAATAGGACTTCCTTGGTATTTTGTTCACTTCAAAAATCTTTATTTTTACTTATTCTATTTTGTACCTACTCTTTGAAAACGTAACTGTTAGAAAATAAATTGTATTTTCACTGTTAGGTCTTCCAGGAATACATTACCAATAAAATTATTAGCAATCAAAAAAATTTAATGCAGGGGCAAAATCACAATACTTTTTCTCTGCTCCAGTATTAATCACCTATAAATACAAAGGAGAAGATATTCTATTTTATAAATGCAAAAAAACCCCACTATAATGTATTCATAATTTCTTAAAACTATTAACTACATTAATTTAAATTTCTATTAAATGTTTAGTGGTTTATAATTGGCCACCGTGTTGCATGCAAGTAATCCCAGCTACTTAGGAAGCTAAGACAAAAAGATCCCAAGTTCAAGGCCAGCTGGCAACTAAGACCCTCTCTCTCCTCTCTCTCTCTCTCTCTCTCTCTCTCTCTCTCTCTCTCTCTCACACACACACACACACACACACACAGCTGTGATATGACTTAGCATTAGAGCACCTGCCTAGCTTGCTTGAGGCCCAGGGTTTAACCCCCAGCACTAACTAAAAAGGTTTTAACAGCTGGATACATAATCATATAAAAAAAAAATAGTCAAGAAGAACATCAAAAGGTAGTGAAGGAGGGATATATGTAACACAGACAATAAGGGTTTTGAATTCAGGGGGAACCGCACAGGCTGTTGTACAGATTGGTGCTGCTACAAGAAATTATTCAACTCAAAAGAAATAAAACTGGGTCCATATATTTACCATGAAAATAAAGTCTAGTTAGATTTGATAATACCTTAAATGTGTACACATATGTCTATCTATACTATGGATACATATACATGTAATTTCTGTATTTCTTATTAAAATACTAGTCTACCTTTCCAACCTAGAAACAGAATCTTTACACCAAGACTGAAAATTTAAGAACCACACAAGAAAAGTTAAGTGTATCTGAGTACAGAACAACTGACTTGCTAGTCAGGTGTGG